AATTCCACAAGTAGAGAACACTTAAAGCATTATTAGTGTGCAGCAACTGACGTTCTCAATTATGCTGGATGACTGTGTGGGAATCTGGCAGAGGGAAGAACAAGGAAACTCTCAGAACTTCTATAGCAACTGAGTAAATCCCTGCTCCAGCCCCTCCCAACTGGTCTACCCTGATGCTCAGAGGCCAATGAGATTTATCTTCACATGCAACATCAATTTTATTTACTTATTTTTATTAATTTATTTTTGTTACAGATGTTTCACCTTTTTCCCCCATTGACACCCTCCTCCCGATCCCACCCCCACCCCCACCCCCAGCATTGTTGTCTATGTCCATTGGTTAAGCATGCGTGCATATCAGTCCTGTAGTCTAGCTCTTCCCTCCTTCCCGTGCCCCACTTTGAGGTTTCTCTATCTGTACCCCATATCCATGTCTCTGGGTCCATTCTGTTCATCAGCTTGTTTTGTTCATTATATTCCACAAATAAATGAGATCATGTGATATTTGTCTTTCTCTGCTTGGCTTTTTTCACTTAGCATAATACCCTGTGCCACTCCTTCCTTCCACCACTCATCTCCGAAATTACTCTCCTTCATTTGACAGAACAGGGATGAGTTACACTGTCACACATCATGTGAATCTTTATCCCAAATGGATTTCAATAAGTTAAGAGAAACTTGGAGTTAACATTTCCCGTGTTTCCACTGAGCTGAATAAAGCCCAGATTGTGAGGGTTTGGAAACATGGAAGGTAGTAAGACTGTAGGGATGTATCAACTGCATCAGTCCCTGCTGGTGAGGAGACAGAGTGGAAAGAGCATGAGCTTTGGAGGCTGTTGGACACAGCAGTCAGAACCAACTAGGTTCAAATCCTGGCTCCACCAATTAATAGCAATACAACTTTGGACAAATTGTTCAATCTTTCTGAATCTCATTTTTCACATCTATAAAATGGGAGTAAACAATATCTCTTTTCCAGAGTTGTATTAAATGAGGCAATAAATGCAAAGAAATATAATAAATGTAAATAAAAGTGGTTTTCTTTGGCAATTCACTCTCTTCTCTTCTTCAGTGTTTTCTTTTGATTTGAGAACAGAGAACTCAGTTTCCAGTTCCATTTCTAGGATCCTGGGGCTTCAGTTAAAAATGAAGCTTACTAAAATAAAAAGACAAAACAGAAACAGACTCATAGATATAGAAAACAGATTGATGGTTGCCAAAGGGAAAGAGGGTTGGGGGTCTGGGTAAAAGAGGTGAAGAGATTAAGAACTACAGATTGGTAGTCACAAAACAGTCCTGGCCATGTGCAGTGCAGCACAGCACAGGGGACATATGAATAATATTGTAATAACTATATACAGTGCCGGGTGGGTTCCTGAAATATCGGGGGGACCACTTTGTAGAGTATACGTTTGTCTAACCTCTATGTTGCATACCTAAAACTAAGACAAAATGATACTGAATGTAAACAAAAAAAATTAAGCTTGCTGTATGGGCATGCTCTAATTAGATGAAATCGACGTCAAGTAAAGAACATGGAATCAGGTGGAAATTCCTGCACAGGCTCTGCATCATTCCTCTTCCTATCAGGACTTCCAGAAAAGTCTACTTGAGAGATTAAAACTAGCTAAAAAATCACCTCTTTCTGAAGCTATTCAAAAATAGTAATAGCCCTGGCCAGTTTGGCTCAGCGGTTAGAGCGTCGGCCTGAGGTCCGGAGAGACCCGGGTTCGGTTCCCGCTAAGGGCACGTACTTCGGTTGCAGTTTGTCCCCGGCCCTGGTTGGTCGTGCAGGTGGCAGCCACTCGATGTGTCCCTTTCACATCGATGTTTCCCTCTCTCTCTCTTCCTCTCTCTCCCTCCCACTCTATCTGTACAAAAAATGGAAAAATATCCTCGGGTGAGGATAAAAAAAAAAAAAAAAAAAAAAGTAATAGAATGCCCTCTGTCCTCACTAGACAATGTGGATAAAATGGTGAGCAAAACAGGTATGAGGTGAGCGCTCCAAAAGTAATTATGTATTTACAGATATGCCTCTTCCATTACACTCTAAAGTCAGCTGAGTATTCTTCATTCCAAGGCTGTCTTTTAGGTGTTCGGGGGTGGGGTGGTGGAATTGTGGGATGAATGAATGATTGGTTGAATTCAACATTTTATAAAAATTGTGTTTATAAAAAAGAGAGAGAACTTAAGTATAGTTTAACTATACTTATTTATTTTTACTTTTAAAAATTAGTATGTTTGCCCTGGCCGGTTTGACTCCGTGGTTAGAGCGTCAGCCTGAGGACACTGAGTCGCGGGTTCAATTCCATTCAAGGGCACATACCTCAGTTGTGGTATGTCCCTGGCCCTGGTCAGGGTCATGCAGGAGGCAACCAATCGATGTGTCCCTCTCACATCGATGTCTCTCTCTCTCTCTCTCTCTCTCTCTCTCCCCCCCCTCCCTCCCTCTTTCTCCCTCCCTCCTACTCTCTCTGAAGATAAACAGAAGAATATCCTCAGGTGAGGATAAAAAATAAAAATAAATAAAAGTTAGTATGTTTATTTCTAGCACATATCTAGTTGATTGGCTATAGTCTTAGTCTGCTCAAGCTGCCACAACAAAATACCATAAAATTCTGGAGGAGGATTAGTCCAAGATCAAGGTGCCAGCCAATTCAGTTCCCAGGCAAGGGTTCTTTCCTGGCTTGATAGGCCACCGCTAGATGTGTCCTCACTGGCAGGACAGATGGAGAAAGAGAGCTCTGGATTCCCTTCCTCTTCTTATAAGAACACTAATCCCATCTGGGAGGAGTCCATCCTTAAGACGTCATCTAAACCTAATTACCTCCCAAAGCCTCTTACTCAAATACCATCCCATTGACGGTTAGGCCTCCAACATACTAATTTGGGCACCGGGGACACAAATATTCGGTCCATAATGCAACGATCTTTCCTAATTTATCTAATAAAGGGCAAACAAAAAGTTTCCAGGGGAGATTTTTTTATATGATTAGTTTGTTTTAAATATTTTTTAATTTAAAAAAAGAAAGAGTTTCCCAGGGGCAAAAATCACATTCCATGGAAAAATCGGTCGGGAGTGGTGGATCCTAACACCAGCTCTGTAACAATCTATGTTGGACTTGGATCAAGTCACCTCACCCCTTTGTTCCCAAGAGGGAAGGAGCTGGACTGAGTGATCCCTGGGCCCCTCTCCAGTTCCATACTGGGATTCTCGTGGTAGTAGCCATCCTAAACATTATTTTTTAATTTGCACATCCTTATTGTCGTCTTTCCTCATCAATCTCTGATAGAGATTACACAGAATCCCACAAGTGAAAATGACAGCCGTTTTCATGCAAGATGGCACCATCCATCAGAGAAGCCATTGCCCTCCCTCCCCTCCCCCACATTGTCGCCAGGACTCTGGGTACAGCACCCACAGCCCTACTGGAGGCAAGGTGCACTCACTTTATTTAGTAAAAGACGAAAACAGAAACCAAATTAAAACTCTTTCAGAGGGTACCTTAAACTTGAAAAAGTACCTAATTCCACTTACATAAGAGATGCTCCTTCAGCATTTGTAAATGTTCATATTCAAGCTGAATATTTTCTAAAAAATAAAGACTCTACACCAAAATCATATAATGCCTCAGTTTTTAAGAAGACTGAGGCTGATGCAGTGCTGTTATTTACATGCACTGAATTTTCCATTTTGAATTCTGCAAATATATGATCACAGTCAAAAAAACAGATGTGCCCACAGAATCCTCCACGAACAGAAAGCCCCATCTGAAGACCTATTATATGGAATGTTCATGTTGCTAGTTCAGGTTCCCTCTCTGTGTTTCTCCCAGATAACCTTAATCTCAGTAGGGAATTTTAATAGAAGTAGATGAGTAATAAAAATTAAAAGGACTTCTCTCTTTCCCCCTGCTGTTTTCTATTAGCAGTGCATTGTATTGTATTCTTTTCTAATGTTTGCTTAAAACATCTCACAAATTTTAGATAGAGAAATAGGCTACCAAGACTGGTGACCACAAAACAATGAACAGCTGAAGATTAGACATTTGACCAGAAAAAGTTCACATGAGCCACACTCCTGTGCACATAAGCAGCCCAGCCTCCCCTTCAGTGCTGCGCACTCCATGAAATCACATGGGAAAGAAAAGCAGATTTATTCTCTCTCGCACTGAATCCTACAGTCACTTCCTTTTTGCTGGTAGATGGTGACCCTGCAGTTGTAAGTGAAAACCATGAAATCAATGATAGAACATGACAAGCAAAGTGCATATCAACATGCAAAACTACCCATTCCCAAACACCCAGTACCTGGCAGACCCACAGTCAGACACCTCCATATACACTGTCTCTTGCAATTCTCACAGCACAGTGAAAAGGCAGGATTATCTTCATTTTACAGGTAAGAGAGTTTAAACAACTTCCTGAAAATCACTTAGCTAGTAAGTGATAAACACACAGTCCTAGTAGATTCCTAAACTCATATCCCTCTATACTGTCAACAGGGAGCACTTCGAGATTAAAAAAGACACCCTATGCTATGGACTGAATTGTGTCTTTCCCCCCACCCTCCAAAAAATCCATGTGTTGAAGTCCTAATCCCAATGTAACTGCATTTGCCGATAGGGCCTTTATGGAAGCAATTAAGGAGAGGGGCCCAGATCCAATAGGCTTAGTGTCCTTATGAAGACAGACACTGACGAATCCTCACACATGCAACACTTAACCTATTTTTGCCCCTGCACAGGCGTGACATTTGCATGTTACAGAATTTGCTCTTGGGCCTTCAGAATTAATCAATGCTCCCCATGTGCCCATGTTTTGCCGTTTCATTATTTTTCTTTTTTTATCTCTATCCTAATCACATGCCTTTTAACCAGCAACATTCTTTCTGTTTCGTACCTAAGAAACATGATGAGGTTAATAATGCTCACTATGACCTCAAAACTAGACGCAAGCGTGCGGAAAACTGATAAGCACTGTAGTGACTGCACACAGCACTGCTGCCACCATCTCCTCGAAGAAGGGCAGAGATGCTGTTTGGGCTCTGGAGTGTAGCTCTGCTCCTGATCTGTGACTTCATGTAAAACTGTGAGTAAAGGCATTTCTACAGCAATGACAAAGACCATGTATTCTTCATGATGTAGCCTCTAAATCCTCACAGCCTGTCTATGTTTGGCTGATAGGCAATTCTAATGAATAAAGTCCTCTGGGTTCTTATCGTAGAAGACTAAGAGTAGCACATAATAAAGCTAGAACTAAACACTAATAACAGCCACTGGTGATGCTTTAGAGTGAAGGTGAGGCATCTAAACTGTAAAAACATAAAAATAACACTCTAAGACCATTTAATGTAGAAGAAATAACCTGATATAAGTGAACTGCTCCAGAAGGCACCACTTACCATATTATAATGCAAGTAGCTGATGAAGCAGAGTCTCTGAAATACTAAGTCGTGGTCACTCTGTTCTTTTTAAGAAAACAGAAAAAAGGAGGAGGTCGAAATATAAAAAATATAGGGAACACCTTGAGAAGGATTTTCATATTACATTATCTCATTTACTCATCAGTCACTCTGGGGTCGACACTATCACTATCATGTTACAAAAGATTCAGAGAGCTTCAGCCATTTGCCCAGGGATGCCCAACTACTCAAATTCAGGAAGAGAAAGGGCCTCATAAATATTTGTTGGGTTTTTAGACAGTTTCCCTTATGACTGTTCAAATAAAAATGTAATTAATTTATTAATTAATCATTAAGTGCTGAAAAAAATAAAAAAAACTTGAGTTGTGGCCAGAACCCAACATCCATTTTGGATGCATATTTATATGATATTAAATCAAGAGAAGGCTGAGATCTTGTGGAGGAATTTAAAGCCTAAACATGTAAGACATTTTCTGAGACACCTTTTCCACAAGCCCTAAATGGTTCCCTAGATTTGAAGCCTGTTTGGATATACTCTGTATCAAAGCGAGCAGTGAGATCAAAAATGTAGCTTCTGTAGCTGCTAAGTCATCCGCACTACATTTGCAAAGATCATTAAAGAACGGGAAGGAAACTAGTCTTAGCAAATTTTCCAATTTTTGATCAAGCACCTATCAGTAATAAAGAGGAGCACATTCACTTATGTCTTTACATTTTCTTACTCATTAATTCATTCAAATATTTATTAAGCATATACCATGTCATTAGCACTTTTTAAAGCTTTAGGATTTTAACGGTGAATAGGTTAATTCCCTACTCATATGGAGCTTACATTTTTAGTAAATCCTCATAATTTTCTTTTTATGAAAATAAGACATCTTTATCAATTATGTATTCTATACAATAGATGAAAGCATTTCCTTCCACAGACCTATTGACAGAAAGTTCTCCTGAAATTGTGCCAGACACACCGTAGATGCTTTAAAAACTGCCAGTGAATAAATGCCCAAGTTAATGAATGAGAGTGCAGCTTTTAAAAGGCAACTCAACTTTGGCAAACTGTTTTGACTGGGGGAAATAAACCAATTCACTGAATGAGCAATTTTCCAATATTAGAGCAAAAGCGAAACAAATTGATGAAATGATTAACTGACGGATTAATCACTTGGTAAATTGATGTTGGCAAACTAGTTAGTAGGTAAATTGGTCACTTAAAGAAATAGTCGTTTTTAAAGCACTTCTGGAGCAGCTGAGCCTTGCATTTCGAAAGCAGGGATGGAGCCTGAACTGCCTCTGTGGCAATGTCCATCGGATCAAGTAATGTCACAGTCCATCTAGTGAAGGTCTCCTCTCCCGCGCCGAGGTGACCCTTCCCTTTCCTTTTTTGTGTCCTTCTACTCCTCTAGCTATTGTTTCCTGTCACAATAAATTTTCCTTTCTCTTATCTCTGGTATATGCCCCCATCATTACTGTCAGGCCTACAGCTCTGGGCACAGAGTGTTGAATGTTTTTGTCCTTTCTGCTCTCACTCCTTCTACCCGAGTTCTACCCTAACCCTCCATGCACATTATGGTCTATTTGAAGCAAAAATTTGGTGACGGGGGGGGGGGGGGGATGTGTGTGTTAATAGAAAGCTCTGCATTGTCCAGAGGATACCCCTCCAGGTCATATGATTCCAGACTTTCGCTGTTGAACGCTCCCTACATAAAGCACACTCTGCCAGGTCATCTGATTCCAGCCCTGTTCATCGTCTTTATCTTACAACTATGTAAATGTCTGTTCTTTGAATTCCCTTTTGAACCAGTTATAACATCTGCCTAGTTCCCTCAATGAATCAGCCAAACAAAATTGTTAACATCTGTTCATTTTCATATCTGTATGAGAACTATGATTTAACCTTTTTTTGAAAATTATCTTTGAACACATTCCTTTTTCTCTAGCTTACTTGCATTTGCAGTATTAAGAGTGGATCCACTGAAATGGGAGTTGGGGTAAAACCTGTGTGGTGCTGTCTATGGTCTTGAATAGCCATTATAAACCAAAGTACCTTGGCTCACCGGTGACCTTTGCCCGGTTACTCCAGTGTTCATGGTGTTTTGCTTGCCTTTATTTCTATCATAATAAAAATATCTGGAAATATTTGAAGTGGAATCATGAGTTACTTTCAACAGCTTTATTGATACGTAATTTATATACCATAAAGTTCACCCATTTAAACTATACAATTCAAGAGTTTTCAGCATATTCACAAAGTTGTACAACCACTACCATAATCAATTTTAGAAAATCCTCATTACTCCAAAAAGATTATCAGTCACTCTTGATTTACCCACAACTCCCTGAGCCCCTGGCAACTACTAATCTACTTTCTGTCTCTATGGATTTGTCTATTCCAGATATTTCATATAAATGGCCTCATACAATATGTGGTTGTTTGAAACTGGCTTATTTCACTTAGCACAGTGTTTTCAAGGTTAGTCCACATTGTAGCATGTGTCAATACTTTTCTTTTTATAAACAAATTACCAAATTATATTCCATTACATGGATAGACCACATTTTATTTATCCATTCAACAAATGATGTATACTTGGGTTGTTGTAATTTTTAGCTATTATGGATAATGCTGATATAAACATTCTTTACAAGTTTTTGTGCGGATGTGCATTTTTATTTCTCTTAGCTACAGACCTTGGCAGGGTCATTTGGTCACTGTATGTTGAACTTTTCAGGAACTTCCAGACTGTTTTCCAAGGCACCATTTTACATTCCTACTAGCACTGTGTGAGGGTTCCCTTTCTCTCAGGCTCTGATAATAAAGAATAAAAGCAAAAACTATTTCACATAACTACTGTGTTTGTTTTTTCTCAAATTGAGAAATATTTCCCTCAAATTGGTGTGAAGTTAATAAACTCACTTTAATCTCTTACTCAAATCAGAACTGGCAATTTTGTACTCCATAATACAGTCACATATCTGTTCTACAAAGATGGTGCCTGGCAATGGCTTTGGCCTGAAAAATGAACTTCAACTATAAACGTTTTCTATGAAAGGGGTCATATCTCCTACAATAGAGTTTTTTTTATAGAAAAAATTAAACATGCACAGAAATTAAAATGTATCTCTTTGCATGTATAGTGAATCTTTCTGCCAACTACTCAAGAAAATGATCTTCATATTTGAAAATTACAAAGCTTCTAATTTACCAAAATAGTTAAATAATGAATGGCTTCACACCTAATATAAGCACATTTCTTGTACAGAAGCTATCCTTCCGTGTCACTTCAGGAAAATAATCAGCAGAAATATATTTTAACGCTCTCAAAAATGTAAAGGCAGTAAACAGAGTTATGCAAAGATGATGGAGCTGCACCTCATTTTGGACTCTACTAGGGTAGAGCCTTAGATAGGTTTGCTGATACCAAGATCAAGTCACTTTTTCTGGGAGACACCATCTTAGGATTAATGGCACATTTTTTAATTTTTTTTTTTTTTATTTACTGATTTTAGAGAGAGAGGAAGGGAGAGGAAAGGAAGAGAGAGATAGAAACATCAATGAGAGAGAACATCAACTGGCTGCCTCCTGCATGCCCCCCCACTGGGGATTTGGCCTGACCAGGAACTGAACTGGGGACCTCTTGGTGCATGGGTCAATGTTCAACCACTGAGCCACACTGGCCAGGCATATTGTTTCCACAGATATGCCTTGTCTCAACAACCTTATTGAAGACTTTCTAGAACAAAGACTCATACATCTTAGTGTCTTCAGCATCTACCCTGGTATCCCACACATAATTTCAATAAAGATAAATGTGATCCTTGTCAAGAACCTAGTCTCTCAACCTCGTTTTCCTTCCCCTTCAGTAAGAGAGGAATAACACTTGCACTTTATAGGGTTGTTGTGAAGATTAAATGAGTAATGCGTAGCATCCACCTTAACGCATGCACTGTGGTAATTTATTCTACCACAGCCTTTAATTATGAAATAAATAATATTTCCAGACTTCAGAAATTTTTAACACAAAGGGAGGTGAAAATTGAAAGCAATAGATAAAACTAACAACCAAGGTACATTTTTAAATCAACTATTGTAACGAGGTCTAAGGGTTTACTTAATCACATTAAAGTCATCTGTGGCTTCCCTGGCTCAGACTTTCACTCTGTATATGCTACCTTCATGTTAGAAGAAACAACATCCCTTCCCAACTTGCAAAAACACAATGAAATAATTTTGCCAGTCTTATTCATTAGTAAACAATCGAATTTAAAATGACCTCTAGCATGACTTGAAACACTATGAAGCAAAAAATAAAAATTGTTTAATGGGGCATAAAGTTTATTGTTTGCTTTAAAGGCAAAGCCGAAGATTCTCATAGCAGTCCAAAAGAAACTGTCCAGGTTTTCCTACTGGAGTAAATTGTCGTCTGCTCTGGCTGATGAGTATGTGGGGTTGAAAAGGATAGAGTGGAAGTAAAATTTTGTGAATCATCAATCGAATTGCAGAAGATGATGCTAGCCATGACTCAGGTAAGCACAATAATCACGATCAAAACTGTGTGTGCATCTTTCATATAGTTTGTCACAGCAATTGTGATTAGTAGTTACCAACTGATTGACATAAATGGAGCTGATGTCAGATAAAAATGAATCATGATGTTCAAGGAAAAGCGAATACGTGGTAAAATATTAATCTGCATAATATTGTGTGCCGTTATAAAAACATAGTGGTAATAACCTAAGTTTGTATCTTAGTATGAAGTTGTTCAAGAAATATTTTGTTTCTTGAATATCTGTTATAAATAGTAATTTAATTCCTTCAGCAGTAACTAATTTTTCTCTAAATGAACTGATAATGGTTTTAAAAGAGGGGGTGCAGGGAGGGGAAAAAATGGAGAAAGAGGAGAGAGGAGAGAAGAGGAGGGAGAAGGTATGCAAGACAGGTATGTAATATAGACATTACTTACCTTTCAAGAAAACAAAGGACAGGAAAGATCGTCAAAGACCCCACCTGTTAAGAAATATATATGATGGCTCTTTCTTGTCAAGTACAACTGAAAGAATACATGTAAAAGCAGAATAGAGTGATTAAAACTAAAAGTTTGTCAGCAATTTAATTCTTGAGCTAAGTAATTCTGTGTGGTCTTGTTTCTCTAGAATTAGTCCTCTTTCTGTAAAATAAGAGCCCTTCTTAAAAAAAAAAAAAAAAAAAAAAAAAAATCAGTGTTTGTTCTTGTCTTCTCTCTGGATGACTCCTTCTACCATACTATCAGAAATTCAAAAGCCTGACACTAAATTCTTTGAGAAAAACATCTCCTCTACTTAAACTAAAATTCTCCCAACATCTTTTACTCTGAATGGCTTCATTTTATGAAAAAATACTGTTTCATAGACAGCTTACCAAATATTCTCTCTTTAAAAAAAAAAAAAGAAATTGGAAAATTCTTCTCTCTGGTAGACAGTTTAATTTACTTGGCCATACCATTAGATTCTTGCCTCCATAATTTTATTCTCTGGTATGTAGAAGCAAATTGATAGTTGATGACATCTAACAGAGAGAGAAACTGAGGACTCCTTTAAGGGAAAGAAGAGAAAGTATTTATGATTAAAATGGATTCAACGTAAGTAGGCTCTAATTTCCTTCAAAAATGACTATGTTATTTTTCACAACTAAAAACCATAAATGGTTTCATATAGGAGCTATTTTAATACTATGAAAGATATTTAAAGTTGATCCTTTATCATTTAAAGAAAATTAAAATGGAGCAAGCATACTTCTTATAGCTTTACAAATTCCTACAAAATGGCCTGCAGTAAGTTTCAAATCATTCTTTACATTTTTTTTTATTCAACAAATATTTACTGAATGCCTGTCACTGTGTTGGGTACAGTCCCAAACCTTATGGAGTTTGTTGAAAGAGATACAGACACTAATCAAATGATCACCCTAAAGAAAGATTATAGTTGCAGTGTTTTCATTGTAAAAAAAAAAAAAGATTGAGCATTTCTATTTCCATGAAGAAGTTAAACCATCTTAAAATTATCCTTTCAAAAACTGGAACTATAAGTGCATTTGCTGCATAAAACTTTTTACCTGGAGGCTGTGGAGTAAGAAAGTCAAGTTCTTGCTCAGAGAAATAGTGGCAAGGCTTTTTGAACAATAAAATAAATATATACCCTAAATTGTTTAGATCTTAAAGAAGGAGAAATTTACTGTACTGTATCCTCAACCAAATAAGCAAGGTTGATTGCATTTAAAACTTACCTTTACGGGAACCTTTGTTGCACATTTGTCCTGGGATGCTATGGGCCCAGAGCTACACCTGGTGGCCATACACAGACTTACAAGAAATTGTTCTAAACCTTTTAAAGAAAATTTAAGTTATTCCTTTATTAATAAAAAAAAAAAAAAGAGCATCTCTCAAGAAATAGCACATTGTTACTTGATAGCTGGGGAAATTTTTAAACTTTTAATGAAAAAAATGTGAAAAGATTAAGGTAGTTAATTATATGATAAAATACAACAACATGTTGATGGTAGAATTTAAGTGATAATATATGGATATTCATTGTAAAATTCTTTTAACTTTGCTGTGCATTGGAGAAGTGTTCACAATAAAATGTTTCAAAAAATTAAGAATTTTTTGTTGTTGTTAATCCTCACCTGAGGATATTTTTCCATTTATTTTTAGACAGAGTAGAAGGGAAGGTGGGAGAGAGAGAGAGAAACATCGATGTGAAGAGATACATTGATTCATTGCCTCTCACACAATCCCAACCAGGGCTGGGGATCAAACATGCAACCCAGGAACGTTCCTTTGAGCAGGAATTGAACTCATGACCCTTCGGCCTGGAAGCCGACACTCTAACCACTGAGCTAAACCGGCCAGGGCAAAATTACGAATTTTTAAAAATGTTTCATCATCAATATTTTTACCACAAACACCTTTTTAGGTATTTTTTCCCTTTATGTATAAACATAATTAATGTGTGTCTTCATAATTCATGCTGTGTAAGTCTATTATATTGATGGACAATGAATTATAAAACAATTCACTTGTTCTGCATTTAGTCGATTTCCAGTTGAACATTTACATATGTGTATTTTTGTTTCTGTTAAATCATTTTCCTAAGACAAATTAACTATTTTCTACTAAATTCATACTGGTTCTGTAGATGAAAACTGGCACAAATTTAGTCAATACCATAGGACCTAGCCATTTTTCTATTTTGCTGCTTTACTAAGTATAAAAATATTAGCCAGAGATTAATTTGCACCTCTTTGATTTTGAACAAAATTTTACATATTTATTTTTGCATTTATCTACCAGAATCTTACTTTTCTTATAAAATGAATAATTACCATGTGTTATAACTGTTAACCTATTGTTTCCTAAACTCATGTAGACTTCTCTGGTCAGCTGTCATCCTTTAGTTATTTTCATTGTGTTGATTCTCATATATTCTAATCTGTCAGTCTCATCCCTTATAATTTCTTCAATCCATTCAGAACTAAGAGATATACTATGTCTCCACTAATATGACACACATTCTCAATATTTTGTTTTAATCTATACATATTCAATTCAGAAAGTAAAGCTCCCTTTAAGAAAGTAAAAGGGAAATAAACAAAAATGTGTCTCGTAAAATTGAGACTTTATTCTCCCAGAACATTATTTCTAAATGTGGTCCTCCCAGAAGGGCAGTTGTTATTAAATGTAGCTTTCCAAGTCTCATCTCTGATGTCTGAGGCAGAATCGCTAGCTATGGACACTGGGAAACTTGCATTAAAAACATAAATAACCTGCTGCCTCTTATGCAGATTTAGGCTTGAAAATCACAAACCAGGAGAAAGACTCTAGGTAAGTCACACACAGTGGGAGTAGAAGATCAGAGAGCAATATAAGATGCCTGACAATTAGGAGTCATTTAAATATTTACTGAATGAACACATATTTTTTTTTTTCTTATATAATGGCTTTTTGAGGTATAATTCACATACTATAAAATTCACCCTTTTAAAAGGTGAACAGGTCAGTGGTTTTAGTATATTCAGAGTTGTGGTGAAACCATCACAACTATCTAATTAGAGAACATTTCCATCACACCAAAAAGAAATCCCACCACATCCCTACCCCAAGGCAATCACTAATCTACTTTCTGTTTCTATAGATTTACCTATTTTGCACATTTCACAATGCTCAGATATGAAATGTCCAGATAAATTAAGTCATACAGTATGCAGTCTTTTGTAATTTCTTCCACATAATATAATGTTTTCAAGGTTCATTCATGTTGTAGCATGGATTAGTAATTCATTCTTTTATTTTTTTATTTTTTCTTTTATTGATTTTAGAGAGAGAGGAAGAGAGAGATAGAAACACTGATGAGAGAGAACTTTGACTGCCGCCTCCTGCATGCCCCCCACTGAGGATCGGGCCCACAACCCGGGCATGTATCCTGATCAGGAATCGAACCAGCAACCTCTTGGTGCATGGGTCAATGCTTAACCACTGAACCACACTGGCCGGAGTCATTCTTTTTTATTGTCAAATAGCGCTATTGCATGGATATACCATATTATGTTTATCATTAATCAGTAGTGTGTGTGTGTGTGTGTGTGTGTGTATTTTTTTAGATAGAGGGAGGGAGGGAGGAAAAAAGGGTGAGAGAGAGAGAGAAACATCCATGTGAGAGAGACACATCAATTGGTTGCCTCCCACATGACCCTGACTGGACTGGGGAGTCAAACCTGCAACCCAGATACGTACCCTTGACCAGGAATCAAACCCACGACCCTTTGGGCCAAGGGCTGACACCCTGACCACTGAGCCAATCTGGTCAGGGCAGTAGATGGTTATTTGGATTGTCTCCGTTTTTGGACTATTATAAATACGCTGCTGAACGGTTATATATAAGGTTTTTGTGTGAACATAAGTTTTCATAGCTATTGGATATTTAGCTAAGAGTATAATTGCTGAGTCATATGGTAACTCCATGTGTAGCATTTTGAGGAACTGCCAAACTCTTTCCAAAGCAGCTGCATCATTATACATTTCCACCAGCAGTTCCAGGTTCTCCACATCCTCCCACATGTTATTACCTGACTTTTTGATTCCAGTCATCTTAGGAGGTGTGAAAGTGGTATCTCCTTGTAGTTTGATTTGCATTTTCATAATGACTAATGATGTTGAACATTTTCTTTAGTACTCATTGGCCATTTGTATATATATCTTCTTCAAAACATCGATTCAACACCTTTGTCCATTTTTAAATTGGTTGTTTTATTATTGAGTTGTAAAAGTTCTTTACACTAAACACAAGCCCTTTAGAAGATAGATGATTTGAAAATATTTCTCTCATCCTGTGGGTTATCTTTTCACTTTCTTGATATTGTCCTTTGAAGCACAAAAATTCATAATTTAATAAATTCCAATATATCTCATCTTTCTTCTCTTGTTTGTACTTTTGACACATCTTTAAAAACTGCCTAATTCAGGGTCACAGACATTTATGCTTATAATTTCTTC